CTGCCTCCCTGCTAAAAGCAAGACTAAACTCAATCTCTGCTACGCGAGCTTTCGTGAAATGGCCAGAGGCTCCGGCCGAGAGCATGCAGCCATGCCGACTCGGGGTAAGCTGAAGTGTACCACAGACCTTCTTGGTCCGTGGTGCTGCAGCACCTTGGGCTGAAGAGTGAAGCAGTGACAAGGCTGGAGGGCTATCCCATCTACCACAGCACGGGACATTCTCAGTCCGGAGCCACATGCTGGTTGATACATGGTTGTTGAGGATGACCTAAGTTTAAGATCTACATAGGTAAAGCTGATGGAGTGCCAGTTGAAAGTGCTGCCATGGCCACCATTAGCCCGTTGGCCGTCAGCTCATGCACCGTCACATCGAAGAGCTGCAACCGGGAAAGGTCGCTGTGCGGCAGAAAGAAAAGAAGCTAGCTGATGCTCCTCGACCTGCTGCAATCGCCTTGACCTATGTAAGTCCTAAGGATCTTGAGGCTTTCAGGAGAACGAGCATGTGCACCGACTTGCCCCGGCGTCCGCCCGACCCGGTCGCAGCTTTAAGGGCCCGTTAATTACTTCTTCGTGGCCTCCAAAGGAGAGACGTCCTGCGCGAGCATCACAGCATCACATGACATCACATGACGATGCCTTCTTGGCGTGTGACTGCACCTGAAAGGGTCCTGGAGAGCGGGATTCGCCGCCAGGGACACCTGCTGGCTGTGCCGCTGAGATGCTCTGCCAGGGCAAGCTACGATTGAAAGACAACAGCTGCTGCCGGCTGCATGCATCGAGTCAACAAGAACATGAAGGAACCCTGTGCCACTCCTACGACCCTTCTTTCAGAAGCCTACCCCCTGCACCTCGGGGTTGGGGAGACGGGAGATGTTGCCGAGAACGCCATCCAAACTGAATGGCAGCCGGACACCTCCAGTGCCATGCAGACTCGATTCGCTGCTTCAAGTCGGAAGCCAAAGTGGTAAGCTGCACACAATTGAAGCCCGAAGCTACAATGGTGCGTGCGATCTCTCCTGCCGTACATGGACCAAGACCACTTAGTTAGAGTACAGCTCGACGCAGTCCTGCTGTCTGACGGTTGAGTCCATTGGCCGCTAGCTGCGGCAGGTGTGCACCGTACCTTGCACATCTCAGTACACGTCAATGCCACCTGCCACATCCTGAAGTGACCCAAGTCCCCGGCCAGTTCACACAGTGAAGCCGCACACGCCGACCTTGTGAATCAACCACGTATCCTGCAGCTGAGGGGCCAGTCTGCAGTTGCTTATTTTGCACACTGGAAAAGCTGACACAGCACATGGGCCGCGGCGACCGCTTGTCTGCAAGGGTAACGACGGAAGCTCCTCCCATGTCGAGTGCAGCCTCTAGCACTCTCCCGTGAACTCCGAGAGCTCAGCTCTGGCCTGGGGCCAGGCACCTGCGCAGAAGCAGTCAGCGTCACCGCTGCTCTTTTCGATGCGCTTCCACTTCTGGCGCTGCCTTGCGCAAATGCGCCCAGCAGCGCCAGCCATTTCATCAGCATGTCAGCTGATTCTGAAAACTGCTTTGGGCTGCGGATGAGTTTCTGGCGGTGGGGGAACGTGATTTTTCCCGACGAGGGCCGTCAGGGTGGCCGGTGCTCCGTTGGATACCTGCTTCTAGTACCTCTTTTGATTGAAGCTGCTGCTGCAGCCATGAAAGAACCTAGGTCAAAATCTAACTAGGAAACGGCTGAATGAACAACAGCACAGCCACTCTCTGTCACTGTGAACATGTCGGCATCGATCTATTCTTCTGCTGCGACCCGCCTGGCACCGCTTGCCGGGCCCATTGCCTAACACGATCTCAGATCGTTCCGAAAACTTCTGGAACAGATAGCTGCTGGCCGGCGATAAGGAGATCTCCAAGCTTCACGGAGCAAAACACGGCTTCCCTGCCTCGACCGGGTACGCAACCCCTTGCCCTGAAGTGTCGAAGCTGCAAGTCTCAAGTCGCGGCTGCGAAGCGTGTATGTCCACTGCTGTGCTCAAAGACATGGATAGTATATGACTGCTGTAGAGCTGGGTCCATTTGCTCATGTCTTGACAGTTGCTTGAATGCATGCATGTGTCTGGAGCCGCACATGACTGCGAAGAGTGAACCAGGACATCAAGCTCAGCGCACTATCCCTGGCAAAGACATGGCCCGGATTGAACTGGATACCTCTTTTAGAATGGAGGCAGACAAGCGAAGCGATTGCGAAGACACTTGCTCGACTTCGTCGAGGCATTAGGCATCGGCCAACAGAAGCCTGAGCCACAAGTCCGTGCCTCAAGTGGGGAATTTGCATGCTTGCCAGAAGCGCTCTTGGAATGCTCACTGCCATGAATCGCAATGTTAGCAAAGTCTCTCAGCTCAAGGCCTCAAAATGGTAGTAACGATCCCTTGCCTCAGCTTTGAAGTGCCATGGCAAAGCCCAAGTTGCGATGTGAATGCACTGAGGCCAAGGCTTGCGCACTTGCAGCATCCTTTGCATACCCTGCAGCTGCTAGTCACTAGTCTTGATCCAGAGTAGAGCAAGGGGCGACCGTCACTACAGCCTCCAAGCCATGCCCGTAACAAGGCTCAGCGCGCGCCTTTCGGCGGCACTTCGCAGTGTATTCTGGGACTTGCTCGTGCCTAGAAAAGGCCGAGCCTCCCTCCAGGAATGTACGACAACAGGAACCACCTTGCAATAGTCCACAGCACCGTCTGAGCGAGTAAGAACACGACTAGTCGGTGCGGGTGTGGACTGCTGCTGAGTTCGATGTGCTCAGGTATACAGAGCTCGAATGCCGGCCAATTCTTCAAACGGGAGCTTGTCGTGAGTTCAGAAAGCACGGCGACACGTCGCCCTGTGTTGAGACTGTGGCCTCTGCTGGGCTTGGCCATGAGGTTTCGCCACAGTCTGTTCGACCGTAAAATGCTTGCATGGCCAGCGGCAAAGCCGAGAAAATTGCCCTGTCCTTCTGCTATTGCTCATGCTTCACCTACCATTTTCTGTATTTTAATCGCGTCCGGATACAGAACAGGCACATTGTCTGACAGCGAGTATGCAGGTCCCGAAGAACGGGCTAGCTCACCCGGTTTCTGGTTTCGATTGGATTCCGAAGGCAGTGGAGATCTCGATGGGGCCCAACTGCAACTTTAAGATCTCCGGCGTTTTCGTCAAGTCGGGAGCCAATTTGACTGTCGGTATTCATTCTGGAGTGCATCTACCCGCATCTGGGATGCCAGCACTAGTGAACTCACCTGCAAGGCAAGACAGCCATTATGTAGACAGGAAGAGGCATTGCATGAGAATGACCATCTGACAATCGCTCCTGCACCGCAGAGAAGGCAATGGTCAACAAGTAGGACCTGTTGAACATCGCAGCAGCATAGGAGGAACGCGCCGGCTGACCCCGACCTGTAGATCAGCGAGGCCCACAGAGTGCCGCCCTTATGTAAGACAAGTCAACGGCTACATAGACCGATACTTCAGCAGCACTTCCATCTGCACAAGCTGTAATCTGAGCAACCACGGCTCCCTAAGGACGGGAAGCCAAGCTGCCATGGAACCGCTGTAGGTCAATGTAAAAGCAAGCCGGCTGCGGGAAAACAAATGCCTCGCAAACGAAGTCCCAAGACTTCTGCGGAAACTGCAGAGGCTCCGTGCCTCGCAAAAGCCGCATGCCCGCGAAGGGCCGAAAAGCTTCCGAGGAAGCACAGTGAACCTTGGGAATGTAGCATGGCGAACAAACGCATGCGGGCCATGGACCACTGCAGTCAAACCTCCGTTGCGATGCAGCGAACAGAGCTGGGAATCTGACCAAGGGTGAAAAGCAACGCAAATTTCTGCGGCATTAGAACCACGATAGGCCTCGAGAACTGCGACGTGCCGATGATGACTTGCATGGTTGCCACTGCCGAGGAATCGTGAGGACGATCAAGATACCAAGGCACGCACAGGAACACGAAGGCAAGACCTCATCAACACTCTGCATGGCTTTAACATGGCACATGCACCCGTGCACCATGAGCGGACATGAGCAGCTGACTCATGAGAAAGCAGCCAAGTAGAGCTCCCCCAAAGAAGGTCATCCACCTGGACCAGTGGCCATTGCAGCATCTTGCCATTGCGCTGAAGCTGCAGTTGCAGTCGTGGCCTCTCTCTGGAAATTGCATTCTCCGAAATGGTCGTGGAGGCTTGCTTGGCCATCCCCTGAAGTGGCAGGCCATAACAGACCTCTGTACGTTTTGCATGGCAATTTCAGCCGGCCTTTGCTTTCCCTGTGATGTCAGAGAAGCCCTGCTGAAAGCCCTTGCATGCACATGGACACCACGAATCCCACTGCAGCAAACAGGACACAGAGTGATATCGTTCTTCGCAAGACGGCCATAGGACGGGCTTGGAATGCAATGCGCTAGTGGGCGTCAACAGGCCTGCTGAGCAGAGGATGCAGCTTTGGACAACGCATTGAAGTCTCCGGCCTCATTTCCCATCTTTCCCGGATCAACTCTCAATCTGAGAGCAGTAACCGGCAATCGCCAACTTTTGCTCCAAGCCTTCGCAGCAGCCGCTGCCTCTGCCATGCTGGGCAATGCATTGCCAATCTTTGAGAACCACCTGGCAAGACACAGTCTGAGCAGCAATTAGCAGGAAATAAAGCACAACCGTGCAGTCGCACGAAGAGGAGGCTTCAGTCGCGGGGGCGGCTGGGTCCTGGTGCAATCTGGTGCAGAGTTCTCTTGTTCAGCTGAAAGGTCACTGATCCCAAGATAGACTGGCATGCCACTGACGCGGCGAGACCTCCACATCTGCCGTGGCGCTACCTCGACCTATCACAGAATGAGTCCAGAGTTGCTGCGCACTCGGCCGAAGCCTTTGTCGGCTAGACTATGACACTATGAAAGTAAGTCCTGCAGTCTTTGGCAGGTTTTATCAATTGAGTCCTCGACCAACCCCCTTGAGCTTCGTAGTGAAGTCATCAATGGCTCGGGAGCTGCTACCACGCATTATGCGAACTTGCACCGTGCTTGCACTATGGAGACTCAGGACGTCTTTTAACCTTCATGATCGGGACGATGCCACTCTGTTCCACTGCGAGCTTCAGTCACCGATGCACCAGAGCAGCGATTCATCATTTCGCGTTGGAGGCATTTACGGTCTAGCTGCTCGGATTCGGTTCTGCTGGACAGCATGGTCAAGTTAGCTTCAAGCAGTGTATCGTCGCGCACGCCTCTGCTGCGAGGAACGACGCTGACAATCCAACAACTAGGCAAGTCAGAATCCATGTCTATGCTCTGAAATGAATGTCGCGAGCATGTTTAGATCTACGGGCCAATGCTGCAGCAGCAAGCAAGTCTGACACATGCCTGCTGGTAATACCAGGTCATGCCAACACAGCTCTTGGGCTCAGCTTCCCTTTGCCCTTTGTCGTCACAACTTAAGCTTTCTTAAGCTTCCGAGCTACGTCATGATGGCATCAGCCTCATTGATGATCGGGGCCGGCTCGGGAGCCGGCTCCGGTGATGGAGCGCCCCGAGAGGCCCCATCTGCCCCATCTGCGCTTTCGGCAACCGGTATCTTCCTCGAGTTTGGCATCGGCTGCGCCAGGTTCTCCACGCAACAGGCACGCGTGCTGCGGAGGAACTCACTGACTGTGAGAGAGACGCCCATGGAGCCAACATCGAAGAGCAGCGGCCGCTTCATTTCGGTGACAGAGCTGTCAACAAGAAGAAGTGGGGGCCGGCCTTCAGCATCAGGTGGATAACCAAAAGGCGGGCAAACAAATGCTGGGAACCCAGTCTCCTTGGAAATGTCGCCCAGCTTGCACTGTTTCACGCACGACACGTTCTTCTGCACAGCTTTGGCAACTTTCTCGACATCGGTCATCTTCTCGTGTGGTACGACGCTGAGCACGCGCCTCCCCTCTACTTGCCACGCCACTGTCTGCATAAAATTGCCCTGCGAAACGAAGGACGAGTTAGCCTGCAGGTACTGATCCCAAGGTGGGATTTCTGCAGCCTTTATCTTTTCGGAAGCCTTTGCAGGCACTTGTTTACCTTCTTTGCTTGCAACCGCCTTGGCTTTGGCTGCTTCTTGCTGCCTCAGCATGCTTCAAGATCATTGCCAAGCGATATATCTGATAAGATCAACTGGTGCATGAAGAACGGCCGAGCAAGAACACCAGCACATCAATCAAATCTCAATCAAGGCACGCATATCTGATTGATCGGAAAGACCGCTGCAGCGTATACCTGGAAGCGGCATGCGCAGATCTGGCATTTTTCCCCAGCCACGCAAGCTCATGCCTCTGGACTGGAAACCCCGCATCCACAGAAAAAGACTAGAGATCACGTGAGGCATCGAGCTCCGATCATGAACTTCGGACGTACCAGACTCAATCTCTGATTTCTGACACATGCAGGTTGGCAGTGTCAGAGGAAGGACTTTCTGAAGCAAAAGCCTATGCCTTCGGCATCTGACGCCGTGCTTCTTGAGGAAATTTTCTACCTGAGTCAAAAGCAGAATCGCGCTGACAAAGCTGTTGTCCGAAGTCAAGAGCTGATACTGTGACCCGCACTGGTGGGAGTAGCTCCGCTTTCCGGTTCGGTGGTGCAGCCTGCAGGATCGTCTAAGACATCTCGCGACGTCCTAGGCTTGCCAGTCAAGTCCAAGCGCTGTACCTCGTTCACGGGTCTTGGCTCTTGCTCGACAGGCCTCTCGCGCTTGCAGCGTATGTATAACCAACACTTGGAAGCATGTCAAAGTAGCTGGCTGCACTCACCTTGCCTGCTTGTGAGATACTTCGATTCACAGATGCATGTGTTCTCATCATGAACAAGAGCAGTGGCCTCCTTTTCTTTCCTCTCTGGGATTGGCCTGTGCCACGCTATTGCGACCCCGTGGCTGGAAGGAAAGTATGAGAAAAGAGTACTCTCCTTCCGTGATCATCCGAGCCTGTCTACACTTAGAATCCCCATGCAAACGTGCTGAACCGCCTAAACGGTCTGGAGAGCGATGATTGTCGTTTTTAACATCTGACCGCCAAGCCGCCTCTCTCCCTGGAGGCACCCACAACGAGTCGTGCCTGGACCTCGACCTGGCGTCTGTTCTCTCCCTCGTCCAGCTCCGGGGGTTCCCTGCAAAGCTGAACCGAGAGTTTCTCGTGAAAGACTCACACATCGATACCACATATACATGCATGACATACATGCATGCCTGCATGCATGGGTACATACGTACATACGTACACACACACACAGAGCACCACCAACCGGCGTCTTGCGTGGCCTCTCTGCCTCTTCTGCCCGCGGTCGCTCGCTGCGGTCTCCCCGGGGTGGCCGTTCCTGCCCCTGCCTCGTGAACTTCAGAACCAATGCTGGACGCAGTCGAGCTAGCAGGTGGCACAGGTTGTTGTACTAGTAGCAGTGGTGGTAGTTGGTACAGGTGCTGGCACTGGCACAGGTGGATTTGGTGGTCGGGATGGTAGTATAGTAATAATGGTGGTAGTAGTTGTAGTAGTAGTAGTAGTAGTAGTAGTAGTAGTAGCAGTAGTAGTAGTAGTAGTAGTAGTAGTAGTAGTAGCAGCAAGAGGAGGAGGAGCAGCAGTGACAGTGCAATGGCACCGTACTGAGAAGAGCTTTGCGGACAGCTTTGTCAGAATTGCTCCATTCAATTGTTCAAGCTTTCTATTTGAGTGGTCACAAAACCTATGCACCTCACATGTCATCTCCACCGGTCATGCAAGATAAGAGCTTTGCTGCACATTCAGCTGTGCTCCGGGCTGTACTGTGGGCTGGCGCTGCAGCGTGCAACACCTGACCGCAGTTACACAGCCAGACTCTCCAGCATGTGGCTCCTGGCACTGGCTCCATGAAGCATGGGCAATCTATCTCAGAAGCCAGCTGCTGCGTATTCGGCCTTGTCGGAAGAACAAGGCGTTGCAAAAGTATACGAGCACTTGCTTGGTACTGTCCGTCATGCACGAGAGATTTTGATTGGGAAGATAGTCCTCCGCCCGCTTCAGTGCTGCTTTGAGGTCGTCATCCTTGTTCAACGCCTCAGTTCGAGAAACGGCCAAAACGGTGCAAGGCAGCAACCTCAATTGCGCACTCTGCTGTAAGATGCTGCAGTGCTCAGGATGCGCATGAGTAATCCCACTGCATCATATATTCCAACTCCCGCTGTGTCCATGGCTATGCTGTCAGTCTGCGCGGGTTTCTCTCCTCCACCTGTCCGAAGGATGCTGCTCTGTGGCTCTACCGGCTTTACTCATATGTTCGAGCGGAATCAACATTCACTGCCTGGTGCGGTCTGCGCAGATGATGCGGTGTTGACAGACGAGGCTTTCATGAACAGCAGCCTGGCACATCGCAGGTCATCTACTCCTGCATCAATGGCAAAGAACGTCTTCAAAGGGCTGGAACAGCTGCAGGGCCTTCCGGGCAAACATCCCTAATCTTCCAAGCATGGCGGCTTCTCGGGTCCAGCAGGTTGCACGACCCAAGGCCTGAGCTGTTGAAAGCGAGAAGATCGATGCTTCAGACTGGGCTGCTGCAGGGCCTTCATGCGAAACGGCAATGCTTTGTCTTCCAACAATCAAGACTTGCTAATTACGGCAGCTAAATTCCGCCGGACCGGGCCCTGCAAACCAGCAGCGGCACACCGTCGACGAGTCGTAGGGGCGCTACGCGCAGACAGGAAAGAAGGTGCTCCTTCTGTCGTGGCCTGGCAGCACGGCTAATTATCTGAGACCATAAGCAGGATGTCTAAAGCAATCATCGACACTGCGATGCTTGCTTGACATTGTAATTACAGCACAAAGCACAGAACCGTTGACAGACAGTTTTTTTCTTGGAGGGCCTCTTCCCATTGTCTTATCCTTTACTTGACTCTTTCCGAGAGAAATTGCTCCTTGCTCAACTTCTCGAGAAGCGCTCGAACTTCTATACGTCTTCGAGCGGTTTGTTCGGCGTGCTCCTCTTTCACAATTTCTTTACACATCCTTTTGAGCGGCTTGTGTGCTCCTTTTCAAGGAGGCTACTTCCTCTCACAAGCACTCGGCTCTAGTCTCTAGTCCCCTTCGAGCGTTTCCCTTCCTGTTCATGAACCGCTTATCGTTTCAACGTCTATGTTTTTTGCCAATTTCGGGTATTCTGCAACTGCTCCCCAGATTACTTAGGCGTCATCAAAATTTCCAATCTATTTCACCCGCTTTGCCTTCTGAAGCCCTCCAATCCCTTTCGAGGGCCGCGCTCCCATTTCTCAAAATCTGTGTCTTCGTCCCTTTCGATTAGTGTGCTCCGGTTCCCAACTTCTATCCCTTGCGAGCCGGTTTGTTTTCGCCCTTTTAATGGTTCGCACTCCTCTTTCTCAACTTCTCTGGCCCCTTTGGATCAGCCTGCTCTTCTCGAACATCCCGAACCCCCTGCAAGTGGCTTGCAGGTTTGCTCAGTCCCTTTCGAGCTGTCTGCGCCTCTGTCTTTCACTGTCCAGCGCTTCTCAAGCGGTTTGCTCCTCTGCTTGAAATTCTCCAACTCGTTTCGAGCAGTTTGCCTTTTTGTTCACAAATGCTCGAATCCGATTTCCTCCGCTCTCTCTCAGATGTTGTCGTTCCTTTCGGAAGATCTGCTCCTCCTCCTCCTCCCTCCTCAGTCTCGTGTCCTTCTGGAAAGGTCTGCTTCGAACGGTGTGCTGCTCTCCCCAAAAAGTCTAGTTTCCTTTTCGAGGATTGCCCCTCTCGTTTAACATCTCAAATGAAGCTTCTAGTCACTTTAGCCCCTCTCGAGCAGTCTCTTCCTCTTTCTCAAATTCACGAATCAGTTTCGAGCGGTTTGTTCATCACAGTTAAACTCTCCAGTCCCTCTTGGGCGGTTTGCTCCCCTTTCTCATCCTCGCTTGTCAAATTCCTTTGACATTGTCATGTAAACACACCATGCCCACGGAAGGGTCGTAGGAAGAAGGGAAGCAGAAAATGCGGAGGACAAGATCAGCCCCGTCGTCAATCAATCCTAGTCCATCTCTTATTGCCTTTCAGTATTCCTTTCGCAATCGCTACAAGCAGCTATAGCTAAAACATGCCCAAAGCTGTTGGCAGAGGGCAGAGCCTTCGCCTGTGACAAGCCTTCTGAGTCGGCAGGAGAGCTCTGAGTAGCCTGTCAGAAGTCCCACACTTCTCCGGACAGGTTATGGTCTCGGACGACTGCAGATCGCCTGCAGCTCCCCTGAGGAGCATGGCTTCGAAGATACACTTGAACCTGTCACACTCCCCAGCGCTTTTTCAATGCTGCACACGGTAGTGGTTTTGCTGTTCTACTTGGGAAGCCTTGGCCGGTGGCATCCTCTGCAGACTGCGGAGCGAGCTCCTGAGGTCAAAATTTGACAAACGTCGGAGCGATGCGAAGACGTTGCTGGACATCGGATTCCGTTCGCATCATCCCAGACATGTGCATGAGACAGCACCCCAACTTCTTGCCGTCCTTCCGTCTTGGTGTCATTTGCCTTTGGCGCTTCTTCATGCGCCTCAGTTCCGTTGCCTGCTTCTCCAGGGCCTGCTGCTCCTGCAACATTGCAGACATCAATGAAGGCCCAGCGACCGCATGCAGCGGAGCCTTCACATGCGCATAGTACACGGAGTCCGTGTGCCCGGAGTGACCCGGGTCCTTCCGGTCTGCCTCAAAAGGACAGGATGCCCCCCTCGGCTTCACAGGGCAAATTGGTTGCGCGGACCTTTTTTGTGAGCCTGGGGTCACCACGGACAGGGAAGGACAAAATACAGCTAGTGAATGCTGATGTAGACATTAGCTGCTGCAACGTACACAATGTTGCAACATACGGCCAAGCCAAGCTTGTGAAGCCACACATACTTTGAACCCTGAACCCACCTCGGTTGCCAGTCGAAGCTGCAGGCCTCGGGACAGTGAGGGCCAGAGAACAAGATCCACCATTCCCTGTAACTGTAGCTGACGTCGGGTCGCATCCGAGCCCGAGCGCAGGGCACAACTCCTTGAGACCTCCACGCCGAGCCTGCCCAAACCGTGGTTCCCCGCAGAACAAACCGACGTCAAGGGCAGCTTCAAAAGGTTCCGCCTTTCCCTTCTTGGCGTCCTGCCACAGGTGGCCGAGGCCGAGCATGAGAAAGCTAGCACATGCCGGGCCGGGATCTCCTTCTGCTTGCCAATGGAGATCGGCTTGGTCTTCAACCAAATTTCATCTTGGGAAGACTGGCCAGGCAATGCCAGCTCTTGCTTGGCCTCGCGAGAAGGAAACTCTGCAGGAAAAGAGTCTTAGAAATGTCAGGCAGCCTTCTGCACAGAGTCCTCCGCTTCGAAAACCAGATTACAGGAGGAATCGTCTAGCCACTCGACCTCCGGATTGCCAAAGCACTCGAATACTGGGCCCTCAAGCCAAGACAACACCAACATCGCTCCAACTCCCCGCCAAAATTTCCACTGCAGCTGAAGCCTGCTGGGGTTGCCAGGCTGCAAAAATCTCCAGAACCTGGAGACTGTGCTGTCTCTTGGCAGGACATGATGATCTCGCAATGTCCATCAAACATGATGTTGGCGGCGTGCTTGCCAGTGACATGTGCAAAGGTTATCCCCGAGACTCCGTCCTCTTTGTTCGAGAGGAAATCCACGCCGAAGCAATGCAAAACGTTGGGCCTAGCAAAGCAGAAGACATGGCACAAGCGTGCATAAGCTGGAACCCGGCCATTCCCGGAGACCGTGCCTTGTTGGAGCGTAGGAGTTGTGTTCTCTCCGTGGGCAGATGTGAGCCTCCTGTGCACTCTCCGTGTAAGTCTTGTCTTCTGGCTAGACCAACTCACGCCTCCATGACCCCGCCAATGTCCTCCATGGCTTCACCGCTGTGCAAGGCTATCAAGGATTTGCTTCTCTGCTGGGCTGCTTGCTTCTGCCCTAGCAAGTACTTCGGCTTGGCAGTGTGCGTGTGTCGCGCGCTGAGGATGTGTTTTCTTTGGCTGTCTCGAGTGGAGCAAGCTGCCTGTGAGCCGTACTGTTGCCGTACTGCATAGTATGGCAATAGTTGCAGTTGCAAAACCTGGAGCAGAAGATCGGAGCCATGCGGTTTCTGCTCGAACCCAGTAGCCTGGACCACTGACATCACAAACATGGGTTCTCGATCCTCACATCCACACTCGGAAACAAAAATGCCCGCGACACATACACGTCCGAATCGACTTTGAAGCAAGGCAGAAGAGGGCTTCGATGGGCTTCGGACACATGCCAGTCAGTTCCAGCGACGAAATATCTCGGCACGAGATCCTTTTTGTTGTGAGGCAGGCAGCAAAGTATGAAGACAATGGCCTACACAATTTATCTTGCACCGACCAGTGTGGTACCGCGTGACTGTCTGCAACAAAGATGGGTCACCCGCTTGGGAGTTCCAATGATGAACCCTACACCCTAGATGTACACAACCCCAGAGCTTGGACGATGACTTTAAGACGTGTCGCAACCGGAGTGCGCGGGCCAGAGGGCCCAGTCCATCTTCCTGTCAAAAGCCACAGTGGCCGCCTGCCCTAGTCTGTGTATGTGGGATGGTTGGTTGCCAGGTTCAGTTCCTTGACTATTCCTCTCGAGGCAGCATGTTGCCAGGCGGCTTTAGAATCTTTAAAACAGTCAAACATCCTAGACGAGACACGCCGCAGTCGGTCATTCTCTTGTGGGCCCCGTGTGCCCCCGCCTGTGCTTGAACACCCTGCTTCAGCGGAGGAATGCACAAAACGTCAGCTTCACTGCAGCAGGGAGGGCACCACTGCGAAGAAAGTCCACGCACGCAGCTTTGGCACTCGAGTGTTTGACTGCCCACTACCCAAAGCAGATTTTGAGCCTAAGCTCAATGGCAGACAGTCCGTGGGCGGGGGGCTACATTTTCTGCCTTGGACAAAGCTAGCATCAGAAGTCCAAAGGCCAGAATTGGCTCGGCTCTAGCCATCAAGGCTGCCAAGGATTGTTTGCACAAAACTTGCAAGCTGCAAACGCAATATGTACAAGAGCACATCACAGCACGCACATGACCAGCTGATGTCACCCACAACAGGCAGGAACTGCTGTTTTGGTCTCTCCCCGCTCATGACCAGCTACACTTCTCGATGGCGTGGCGGCATAGCTCCAAGAACAACCGTGCGACTTTGCACACAGACACACACACACACATACACTCTGAAGTTCAAGTTGAACTCCTCCTTGCTGTTGCTGTAGGGAGACAGGAGAAACGATTTCATCCAAGAACATTAGCAGAGCATCGCTGCTCAGACTTGCGCACATAAGCATGTGCCTCGTCACGAAGAAGCCTGTGCCGGCAGTAGTACTGAAACACGGTGGTGATTGTCATTGTCGGAGCCCTCACGTGTGACAGGCAAAATGTCTTTTGCACCAGCCGCAGTCGTCTGTCTAGGGGAGGCTTTGCAGAAACTGGCGCATGTATCCCGGAAACTTCTCGACATCTGCCCAGCACGAAGCCACCTGCAACTGTGCCTGAGGCAACAGATCCTCAGTCAGCTTCAGCTCCAACTTTTCAAATTTCCGAGCATGGACACGATATGGCGCTGTGGCTCAGAAAGGCTTGGCAGACCAAGCTTCGCAAAGCAACTCCGCAGATTCCAGCGGATGCTGCGCATCAGACTTCCACGCCAGAACCAGGACTGGCATCGACAATCCTCGGATGCACGTCTCACAAACCACGCCACACCTTTTGAAAAATCTGATATTGTCCGAGATCCGGGCGCTTTATTTCAGATGGCGGCGGCAAGTCCGAGTCGATAGCACCACGGAGGGCCGCGCAGTATCGGCGCTGGCCCATTGCAAACTTAGCTCGCCAACCGATGTCGAAGGAAGCCTTGGGTTTGGCACCGAGTACGGGGCTTTCGGACCACACTGAATCGAGACTGGGTGGCTCTTCCGGCATCCGTCTCCAGGAAAATCGGTGGGCGGGCCTGCGTGGTGAGGGGGCATGCCCAACAACGAGAGACTTGCCGTGCTGTAATAGATTTGCATGGAGTCTGCGTTCACACCATCAGCGCATTACTGGAATATGCAGCTTCAAAGCTACACTAGACGAATGTTCAGTCGAAGTTATGTTATGCCTCGTGGTGTAGTTCTAAGATACCAGTCACAAGCTCTACGAGAAGCCGCTTCTGAATCATGCCGACCATGCCTTGCTCGCAGCAGCCTTCTTGGCTGCTTTCAGACCTACAGGCATCGAAGAATCGAAAACTGCATCTCGTCTCCAGCCAATGCTGCCCATCTCACTGCGGCATCTCACTACAGCATGCTTCGCACCTTGCCGCTGCGCAAGTTGGAGACTCTGCTCGTAAAGCGGGACAAACTTTCGTCCTTGCACCATGTGATCTCTCTTATTGCTGACAGGCAATCCCTGATATGTTTTCACAAGTCCGCTTTGCGAGGCCCGGGCTCGTTTCGTAGCATGTCGGTGGTGTGGCGATGATCAATGCGGCAACCTTCTCTGGAGCCTCCCAAATTTGGCGATCTGCGAAAAGGCACCACTTAGTGTATTCAGTCGCATGCTGCCTCCAAGGCTGCATATAAACTTGCCGCAGAACCCATGCTCGTGCCGCCCAGAACGACCGGTCGACCCGGTAGCATAGTCTCATGCATGGTGCGCAAGTCAGACCCCATGGCCTGGTGCTCAAGCGAACACTTCGGGTCGAGTGAAAGCCTGGCAAGGAGCCTTAGGGCCTTGCCTGCCAGGTGCACGCATCCGAGGCATCAGATCGACCATGGCCGCGGGCATCGTAGCGAACCTGCAGTGTTCTTTGCTATTTGCAGTTCATCGAACTGACGCTAACTCGTCCGAGGCGCAACTGGCATTACATCTGAAAGTTCTGGAACACCGCCGAAAGGCCAGCCGCCTTGACATAAACACACCCATTCGAGGCAAATGACATGTCAACGCTCAGTGAATCGTCGGAATGCTCGCCTTCGCTTTCGCTTTCAACCGAACTCGTAAGTCCGTGTGCCCAAATCTTAGGGGAGTCCACCATGCGCAACAAAGGTCATCTTTGCAGCACTGAGCTTGCGGCAAATGTGTAGTCTTTTTGCGCCCTCGCTCTGCGAGTGACCTGATCCGACAACTTTCGATCCTAATAGAAGTCAGACACAGCTTGACAAGCAACAGACCGTGGGCAGCGCCTCAAATCGCAAGGAGAGCGGGGCTGCAACGTGTCGAGGCCTGGATCCTTTCCAGTTTCGTTCATGCATTTGACTCTTCAAACATGATATGCCCACCGACTTTGCGACCAGCTTCAAGCCCTGAGTTCGCCTTGGTGTAAAGGCACGCTGCCCCGCAAAAGTGCCGGGGTGTGATGTATTTCCTTGGGGCTTCTGCATGGCAGCAACTGAAAAGAAAGCAGTTGCACTGCAATGCCTTGCAGGATGTCACTTCAGAAAAAGGTCACTCGAAAGAAAGCCCTGTTCTTGGTCGGTGCAAGGCTCATTCAGACCATCACCGTGCTGCGTGCCATGTGTGCCCAGCCGGGAAAATCGTCGAATGCTGGATCGCCACATGACTGCTCACGGCCACGAAGGATTCCCTGGGTCTATGCAGAATCTTGCTGGAAAAAGGATGTTATCTGCAACTTCAAACACCATGTCTATCTGCCATGTCTCCTGTTTGCAGGAACTGGGTTTTATGTTTGCAGGCATTGCGCCAACTCAAGACTCAAACTTGGGCCAAACAAGCTCACTTGACAGAAACTGAAATCCAAGCTGACAGCAAGATTTCTTTGCTGAGGCGGCCTCGGCCTCAGCGTTCGAGGCTTTGGGCTCGCTTGATGTGCCTGCTGAAGGCCTCGCACAAGCACAGCCACCGGCCAGGAGAGTCCAGGGAAAGGTCATAAGTTCGCAGCGGCAGGGTTGTCGTCGGTGGTCCCACAAGAAAGGGATCTCCATGCCTGTAGACCAGTGTCTCCGTCTTCGGGTTTAGGAAGTTGAAGCTTTCAGGCCTGGAAATCCGAATAGTAACGATCTTTGCAAGAGCGTCACCAAGTTTCCGAATTATGCTGAGTATGTTCTCCGATCTCGCATTTTCATAGTTTGCCAGACTTCAGAGATGAGAAAGATCGGCGAAGTCCCAGTCGGGCACCGCAGAGATGTCACTGTGGAGCATCCGATACACACTACATGGTCCAGGGTCAAGAGTCTCAATGCAGTGAAAAGATCGAGCATATGGATGATGAACGAATGGCCTGTGAACAGGATATCGAGCGAAAGTTTACAAACAAATCAGCAGGATCCACAGGTCGCCCTGCGAAGTAAAATGCCAGAAGGGCTCGCGCAGGAGCTTCGACGAACTCATCGGTGTCTTCTACAGCGCGCTTGTTGCCCTGTATAGCTACAGGCGGACCCTGAACACATAACGATTGCAGCTCCGGAGCCTTTTCCCAATAAAATGCGCGTTATGATTTTGTTCTGGGAAGTCATAACATCCAGTCGCTTCCATGAAACGCTTGGGTACAAGCATGGTCAAGCATGTAGAACAAGTCCCTAGTGCAAGGAAAACTCGAACCGGAAGTCATAACATTCGCCTTGCTCCTCAGTGAACGCACGATTTCAGTAGCACCCGCTCAAGAGACGCATCATGGGCATCATAGCGCACGAAAGCTTGAGGAAAACCAGCCATTCCCGATGTAGACCCTCGATTTCAGAAGCACGTGCTCACAACAAACAGCAGTAGAAACACAGCACTTCAAACTCAGCCATTCCCCAACTAGACGCTCGATTTCAGAAGCACGCGCTCAAGACACACATCATTGGCATCACAGCAACAGGAAAAGAGCCCTCCCCACGTAGACGCTCGATTTCTCAAGCCGTAAGGACTCCAGAGTAAACGCAGACTTTTGCAACAAGTCTCATCCCAAGCAAACAGCATCTACCATATATGTTCTTCTGAATCAGATTCGGAGAACTAAAAACTTGTTCCGGCTCGAGTGGCTCATGAGCACGAACCGCGTCTCTCTTCATCGCGAAGATGTGGCTCTGTGCCCTTTGACATGCTCAAACTTCTTGTTACCTCGGCCCCCGGCCCCCCTCCCCCGGGGTGCCGAAGGGTCGTCCACTTTTGTCCTGCCCTCCTGCCCGCACCCATCACCTACACGACTCAGGTATACAACATGTACTGGAACTGGCACAGTGGTCGTGGTGGTAGTTCCGAGGATTACCGATGCATTCACCAACATCAGCTTAGGAACGACATACGTGCATGCTTGATCAAGATCAAGTGCAGAAAGTCCTACCAACACTAAGCGGACAAAACAACGATGCAACGTTCATCATCCTCGTCATCATCATGACCAGCAGCAGCATCACTCTAACAACAAGTGTCAAATACTAAATGTGATACCAACATTAAGATCTGTACCACAAATGCCGAGGCACGCCACCACGCCCCCGCGTGAGAAATCACAGCTACAATCATATTTGAAAGAGTTTCTACATGGAACCAACAAGGACAAGGACAGTAACAATAACAATAATCAGAACGACAGCAAGAGCAACAACAACAACGTAAGCACGAGCCTTCCTGGGATGAGGAGCAGTACCAAGAATAGTAGCAATGGCAATGGCAGTGTTCATATCCGGCGCCATGACAGGAAGCTTGGAAACTGTGAAAACCATGGTAGTCACAAGCATTGCACAAGTGACATAGCAACAAGCCACAACCAAAGCACAGGATGCCCTCTAAGGAGTCAGCCCTTCTCGCTGCCCGCAGCAGACGACCTGCGCGGCCGTGGCTAAGGCCGAGCCTGGGCGTTGCGTAGATAGACATAGTATGGATACGGGTGTAGATGCAGGTACACATATTATAGATGCAGACAAAGCAACGGACATGGATATATCTATGGACGCAGATGTAGACATGGATACAGATACGATCAGATACGGATATACATTAAAATATGTTCGTATGTGTGAGTACGTATGTGCGCCGGTATGTATCTACGTATGTATGTATGTATGTATGTATGTATGTATGTATGGTGTTCGAATGCAAACATGCATGTATGTATGCAAGTATGTATTTATTTATGGATGTAGACATGTGAACAGGACCTGTCAAGCATAGCAGCATGCTGTCTACATACTGCAACTAGGCAAACATCGACACATCAGAAAAGACCGATGCCGGTTCTGAACACACATCTTGCGATGAGGGAAGGGGCTATCCACCTTCGGGGACTAGAGGGCGACCGCATGTTTTATGTATATTGCAACAAGCTAAATTATACTTGACCATGCTTGTGCCGTCGTATATAACGCATTGCATTACAGTATATGAGATGACGGGATTTGATTCTATGCTATATAACGATGTTCATACAATATCTGTACATATATTGTATTTAATATATGTACATACATGCATATACAAAATTATGCAATGTGCATCTAGTTCTTGCACACACACACACACACACCTTGAGGATCGGGCCCATTCTCCGACGCACTGCGGACGGGGTGCTTATCTATTGCTGGCCAGCTGCAGGTTTGAGGGCTTAAGGCTTGCTCGCATGCTGGCACATATGACATAGACAGTCTTTGTTCCTAGCTCTGTAGCTTGCGAGCCCAGCGAGAGCAAAAGCACGAGCATCGGTGCAGAGGTATGAAAGCATTCTGCGCCGTTCCCGCAATACTTTTGCATGAAGCTTTGGGTCGCTTCAAAAAGGCGACGGTCAGCACGCTTAGTGGTTGTCTCTTGACAGAGGTTTCTGTCGGACTATGGGCATTAGTTCCGTATCGGTTGTGGTCCAGTCTTGCAAGTCGAAATGCAGGTTGCCCTTTCTGCCTGAATTTGCACAAGCTGCAAAGACCTCACAAAGCGATCCACCAAGCGAATGCCCGGTGCATGCCACGTTTTTGCACTTCCCCAGCTTCGGCCTCAGCTTCGGCATGTTGTACTTCATTAGCCAGAAGAGCTTGTCAGCATAGCCGCCATGAACTTTTTCAAAACCACAATATGTCTCCATATTGGGTCGAAGATTGACCTCAAACTCCTGCGCAGAGTGGGTGCCCTCGAAGACGAGCATGCAGTTCATCGTCTGCTCACTTTGTACAAGCCAGAGGTTGTCAACAGCCTGTAGAGTGTCTTGCTGCCTGGAATCAAGTCACTGGTCTCCAACACCATCGCTTCACTCGTAACAGTCAGTGTTACCTAGTATCTCGACATACAACTGAAGTAGCCCCTGCTTCCTCCATCTAGCGCACTGTTCCTGCATGAAACTTTCGGCACAGTTTCGCATGGTTCAAGAGCTTCTGCCTGCATGGATAGCTGCATGCCATAAGAATCACTGCTAGCACGATAGTTGAAGAGCTAGTCTAGCGAAGTTTGCGCTGGTATTCGTACCGAGCTTGCTTTGGCAGAAGCTTTCACGTCAGCAATTACACGCCTGTCTCCATCACTGGTACTGCTTCTGCTACTGTTCCCACTACTGTTGCTGATGTTCCCATTAGCAGCAGAAGTAGTAGCAGTAGCAGCAGCAGGAGCAGTAGCAGTAGCAGTGAGCAGTAGGAGCAGGAGTAGGAGTAGGAGCAGGAGTAGGAGGAGGAGTAATAGTAGTAGTAGTAGTAGTAGTAGTAGTAGTAGCAGCAGTAGCAGTAGCAATAGCAGTAGCAGTAGCAGTAGCAGCAGCAGCAGGAGGAGGAGTGGTAGTAGTAGCGGTAGCAGTAGCAGTAGCAGTAGCAGTAGCAGTAGCAGTAGCAGTAGCAGTAGCAGCAGCAGCAGCAGCAGCAGCAGTGCTAGTAATGCTGTGGTCGTCGCAGTTGTAGTCGTATTCGCAGTGGCAGTGGGAGCGGAAGCGGTCTCGGTGGTGGTTGCCCGGTGGTGGTGGCCGCGGTCGTCGTCGTTGGAAATTTGGGCTACCATTGCCTCTACCATTGTTACTTTAGCTATGCCAGGACCACGCCCACAACCTACCGCTACCGCTACTCCTGCTGCTTTTGCTGCTGGCTATGCAGCTGAGGTGCTCCTGCGCCACAAGCCGCCAGCCCTTGAGATGCTGGAGAATCAAATCTTCCATTCGAACAATGCGGTTCCTTCAGTTTTGCTAGTGGTCGCCCACGAAGCTCCAAAAAACAGAGAGAAGAGCTGCATTGACTATGTAAGGCAAGCCACGTTTGCCAGTGCTTCTGCTTTTCATATGCTCCCCAAGCAAGGTTTGCAAATTTGTGGGCACTGGCCTCAGGCATCGTATCCACTCCAACAGAAGCTTTTCCAGCAAGAAGAACCACGAAAGTACACTGAAGGTGATGACACCAGCTCGACAAATCTGCAGAAGCTATCACGTAGTTCTGCAGACACCTCGCACCAACGTCTGCCAGTGCGAGACGAAGCCGCAAACAGAGGCAGGTGGGAAGCATCTTCTCCATCCAGATGCAGGTTTTGAAGACGAATGAAATAGTGCTTCATGTCCTCAGCTACGGACTGCAGAGTCAGATCGAAAGGGTGACTCCACTCTAAGCGCTTCTGTCTCTGCACTCTGCACAGTCACCAAATTAATTTAGCTGTTCCGCTGAGAGCCTGCCCATGGATGAAGCCTTCGTAAGTAAATCACGAGGCTCTGCATATGCTATCGAGCGCCTTCCATGCACTCTCCATCGTTAACCGAACTTCAGGCACGTCTCGTGTAGGTCGACATCCGGCAGGCGGATGGCCTCTAGGGCCAGGGCCAGGGCAATCTTGAGCAGTCCATGCAACGCTGCAAGGCTTCAGTCTTGAGAACCCCTTTGAAGGAGAAAACGCCTCTGTGCCATGTCTTGGCAGATCCGGCCGTCCTTCTCCTGGATAAAACCTGCTTGAGAGCAGAGGGCCGGGTTCGCCGAGGCCCTGTGCTGAAACTCCCTGAAGATGAGAAGCGCCTGTGCCTCAACCTGCGGCTCTAGACCCCCAGTGTCGTACATACACTAGTCGGCTAACGGGAGGCTACGGCTGCAAAAGCAAATCAAGGGCCGCCAAAGCGACTCGGAGTCTTTGCCCAAGTGCAGGGCCAGTGTTGCCACCTGACTCAAGAGATCTCATGAACTTGCAGGGGGGGGGACAGTAGTATCAGGAGCAGGGCGTGCGGGAAGAGCCTGCCTTCGGGTGCATGAGCAAGTTCAGGTCTGAGCCTGCATCTGTGTGCCGCGGAAACAAAGAATTGTCAATCGTCTCCGTGTAGCACCGGAGCCCTGTAAAGCTGCGCGACGGCTGCGAAAGATCCTCCAGAGGCTCCTTGCTGGTAGCCACAGCCCCAAAGGTAAAGATAAAGGTGACCTTGCTCTCAGACCTGTTGGCAGAGACCTCCAAGTCTTGGTAAAGCTCATCCTGAAGCTTCCGGGAGCGTAGCTGCAATGCTGTCAGACTGCAGCGAGTGGTGCCGCACTCATCGTCCACTTCCAGCTCTTCCAGGGCTCTACCAAAGCATATCGCCAAAGCCACGACAAACAAGCGGAGCATTGCACCGGCACCCCGGCTAGATCGCTTTTAACATGGGCATAGGGGCAGGGGCAATCCAAGCCTTGCCTGCGCGAAGTCATTCAGGCAGAGGGAGAGCGACAACCGGCAGTTAGGAACGCTGCACAGAATGCATGGACTCCTTTTGGGGGATCTTTCGCCGTGTGGAGAATATTGGAGGTGCGTCGATGTCTCTGGCCAACACTGCACAGGGGAATGTGGCAGCTGTATGCAACCCCAGAGTAAATGGAACTACTGCCACGGCAAGCAGGAAGGCGTTACCTTCCAGGCAGGACGTCGGCAATAAACTTCAAATTCAAGCTCACGGCGAGCGAACATTGTTCTGGACTTTCGAGGATGGCCTGAAACAAGGAGCAAGGTAAGATCGTGTGTTGATGGACATGACATACTCAAAGACCTTTGCCAAGGAAGCCAGCAACAACAACATTTGGCTAGTGCATCGAGCAATTTCATTGAAGACCCTCCACAAGCACAGTCGCTACCAATGCAGTCCTTTTGCTTCTGCGCACTTTTCCAGCACACCTCCCTTTCACATCCTGCAGCTTCTCCGTATACTGGAAGAGCAACTAGCAAACTCCTACATGACCACTGTGTGTACCTGCTTCTCACTCGTCTGGCTCGGGCTCTTCGGTAAGAGCTGGACGAGCTCCGTCTGCCAAGGCAGATTTTTCACTGTGCTCGAAGAATTTAAGAGCCTTTCTGGCTGCATCTCGAACTTCTTCAGACATGTCGTCCTCCAGGGCTTGCACCTCCTCCTTGAAACAGGCACCACGATGTCCCATCCGAGCAAGTGCTTCGCAAGCTGCCACCTGCACAGCTGGAGAACTTCCCTGGTAGGTCATGCGGCAAACATCTGGAGCAAACATTTGTCCGATCTCGCCACACTTGGCCACAGCGCGAATGGCTTCAGCCTGCACATTCCAGGCCCGGTCCCCGAACAAAGCCACAAAGGTCTCCACGTGGGCGTGGGCCTCATCTCCCATCATGCCAAGCCCTTGGACTGCTCGAGCTCGCACAGTGGGGTGGGGATGCTCCATGAGCTCCGACACCGCCCTAGCAGTCGAGTTGTTGGCCTCTCCTGTCGCAGCGGCGATCTCGCCAACAGCCAGACAGGCAGCAGCTGCTACTGGTGGTGCCTCATCCCGAAGCATATCTGAAATGTGGTACTCGTATCGTGCACTTGCCGCCGGCATTCTGCTCAGCGCGTGCAGGGCTGCCACTCGTACTTCCCAGTCTTTGGCATTCAGGCACTCGACTAGTCTTGCTGCAGAAGTGGCGCCAGCACTGCCCATGTTGGCGAGAGCTGCAGCTGCAGCACAAGCTGGCTTGCGAAGCAAAGCAGCCAACTTCGGCGACACACCCGCCACGGTCAAGGGCAATGTCGAGGAGTCCTCGCCATCATTGCGGAGTGCTTGCTCTAAGGCTGGAATCTGAGATGCAGCGCTTTCTCCGATGCCGCCCAAAGCAGCTGCGGCGGCCGCCACCACTCCAGGGCTTGGATCTGAAAGAAGCTTGCCAGCCGGCCCTGCTAGGTCTGCCACCTTGGGGCCAAGTCTACAAGCATAGTCGGCAGCTCCAAGGCGGACGTAGCTGTCTGAGTCCGACAGGAGCGGCACAATCTCAGAGGAGAAGCTCTCGGCCCCAGTCATGCTCTTCACTGCATTGACAGCAGCGGATCGAACACGAGCGTCGGAGTGCTTCAGCAGCTTGCCGACATCTTGTAGGTGGGAATCCATCTCTGCTAAGCTCATGCAGGCGGCAAAGACTACGTCCGTGTCAGAGCTCGAAAGCTTCGAGCTGACAGCATCTGCAAAGTTGGCAGCCCGCATTTTTCCGAGTGCAGAACAGGCGTCGACAACAAGGTCAAGGTCTTGATTGGCCAAGAATGGTTGGACTGACTGGGCGTGAGAGACTGCAAGTGGTCCCATCGAACCCAGCGCTAACAAAGCGGCCCTCTTGACCTCCTTCGCACGACTCTGCTCAAGCTTCGTGGCCACAAGAGGTGCATAGTCAAGCGCTCTGCCATGCAACTGACTCAAGGCCACTAGGGCATGCTCTTGAACGGAGGAATCGGAGTCACTCAGCATGGGAACCAAGGATTGCTCAATGTCTCTTTTCGACATCCGCTTGCTCATTCTGCCAAGCTCGCGTAGCGCTCCACATCTCGAGTCTGCCCTCTCGCTCTTCAAGTTCCTGGACACCAGGTCCAGGGGTGTCTCATGGTTCTGAACCGCCACACTTGCCATGGCCCACTGGTTCTAGGAAGCATCGAGAACCTTGCCCTTTTCAAAGAGCTGCGGGCACGCACATGTGTTCTGCCAAGTGCCATTATGTCTTGCATGCGGAGCACACAGCTCAAGCTCAGCGCAGGCCTGCCTGGAAGTGCACGAGAAAGCTTCCCGGCCAAGTCGCTTCTCTAAAGACGTGCTATCTGCCTACTGGATATGTGCGGGGGTGGAATTGATTGCAAGGCTGCATGGGATGGCAAAGAAATGAGAGCAACGACGGTCGGCTCGTGTAAATGAGGAAGCCAGTCAATCGGACGAATCACTGAGCTCGAGCAGTCCAGTACCGTGAAAGTGTCGAGCCATGCCAGTTATGGCCTGCAACCTGACTCATGATGTCTCTTGCGCAAACTTCACGAAACTTTGCGAAGGTCGGCGCACCTTCTCTTCGACATGCTTGCACTTTGGCACGTCTCCACATGCTTCTGATAGAAGCGGTCAAGAGGATGGCCAGCCGGCCAGATTATACCGCACATACTTTAATCCAGGCTGTTTACAGCACACTGCTCCGTCGATTGTAAACGCCCGTTGCTACGTTCAAAAGGTTTGGGGGCAAGCGAAAGATGCAGTGACCTCACAGTCACTTCACAAGCAACTTTCTCAAGGCTCGCGGATCCGAATGAACACTACCTGCCCAAGGGCGAGTTTCGCAAGATTTCCTCCTTCGCCTGCAATGAAAATTCAAAATTTGGCTGTAGAGCTCTGGGACTGGAAGGCCGGAAGGTACCAGGGCTCAGCTGCACTCCTTAGCTCTGCTTCAGGCACCCGCTACGAACCTACGGAGTTGCATCAGAAGGGCGAGAGAACCATGCAAAGAGACCTTTGCAAACGAGCTTCAGCAGTGGACGTCTTGCATTGGTGCTGCCAAAGTTTGTCCTTCCCGACTGGCCGCACACCCACACAGCTGCCAACGTGGCCTGAGCACGGAAGACATATTTTGGGTGGCTTGGCCCATTTAGACACATCCGTTCATATTGCTGTGGCTTCGGCGAATCCAGTCAGCAGAGACTGCAAAGCCAGCAAGGGGATCAAGCCGATTGAGGTCACGTCCGGACCTGGCACGGCCACCCATTCCACTCGTCGAAGCGTAGATTAATCCGATTAGTCTGAACATCCCTGCGGCAGGGGAGCTCAGGCCCTCGGACATGTCGATCGGAGCCATGTCCATTCGAGCGAACCTGCCGCCGAAGGCCAGAAGCGCCTCCTGCACAACCCGGGCCAAGGCTGGTCACTGGAGAAATGAGCCCTGCCGCCCTGCCGGGCCCTGCCTCCCGGAGGATCGTTGCAATGGCTTCGAAGCGTGGCGAGCCCACTCCACTGACGGCGTCCCAACCTCCGACCAACACCTACAGTAAATTCATCATAGCCTAAGTAAGCTCAGCAGCACATCAATGATGCTATGTTAGCTGCATTTCTTTTTGAGAACCAAAACCAAGCTTACGCAAGTGGTGCATACTGTTCAGAGTCTACATTACAGCACCGGACTGTTACACGCTGCTTTGTGCAGCCGTCATCCACAAACGTATGTGTAGAAATGCCTGGTCATGCCTGGAGACCGGGGTCCCTATGGTGTCAGTCCAATCTCTACTCTACATGTATGTCTAGTGATGATACGGCCCCAACCCCCCAGCCTCGCACGGCGCTGAAGCCAACGTCGCAGCAGACAGATCTTGAGCAGCGATTGTCACCAATCTGCACGTCATTGAAAGCGCTTGGATGCTTGGAGAAGATCTGGTAGATAAGCGGATTGAGAAATCCCAAAGGAGGCAGCCTGTTGCTGAGACGGTCTTCGTTCCAGCGCGCGACCATGGCAGCAATGAGTGGAGTCGAGGCTGAAGTGCCGGAAGTTGGCTGCAGGTCGTCGCCCATAAGGACTAAGTAGTTGCTGGAGATAGCTGCCAAATCTGGATAAGCACGGCCAGAGCGGTTGAAAATCAAGACGTCCTGGTCTGGAGGTGGGACATCCTGCTGCTGGAGGTAGTGCTCCACAGCTCCGTGCTGATACCAGGGACGCTGGAAATCCGAAGAGAAGCCTCCTCCAGATGTAATGCCTCCACCCTTGTCCGATGTGCAGACCACCTCGCCATCCTCGGGGCATTGCACCATTACCTTAGATGACGTATAGCTACAGACCGGGACGTTTTCTTGCGCAAGCTGTGTGCCACCAACCGAAGTAACCCACGGAGATGATGAGGGGAATTCTTCACGGTTCCTGCCACAGTACTTCTTGCCATATTTGGCCACGAAGCTCCCACTGACACCGTCATCGCCGCTGGCCACAAGAATCGTGATGCCCCGCAAGGCCAGCTTCATGAACTCTGCGTTGATACGTTGCTTGAACCAGGCGGGCATAGTCAGCGCATCGTCACTGTATGACACAGAGTGAACTAGGGGGATATGGTCATCGCTCGTGTCCTCCAGCTGCATGAGCCAATCCAGAAACGGTTCCTGTCTTGTGGCGAGCTCGATAGATGGAACGCTCCAGAAGAATGCTGACACATTCGAAGCCAAGGCAGTTATGTACTGAATATCAAGCTGCGCCTCTCCTCCCAGAACAGAACCTGCCATCGGTAAGTTTTCACCAATGAGACGGAGCTTCTCCTTCGTGCTCCAACCACGCACACCCATTAGCTTGAAGAACGATTCCAGGTCTTCTGGGTTGTAGTACTGTCCGAGGAACTCGGCAACGGAAATCGTGTTTCGTGGATGTCGAACAGGTTCGTGCATGGGAATCCCATAGTTCCGGGACAGCAGGGCAGGTGTCGTGTAGGCCATGGGCCAGACCGGAAAGACCTCGTCCGCCTTACTGAAATCCGACACCGAGCCATCACTGAACAAAGAGCGAATTCTTACTGTGGTACTCGCATAGTTGGCCACGCTTCCGAGAGTAGCGTTGAACTCCACACAATGCTGTCCGTTCTCTGTAGTTCCGACCTTCTGGCCAATGACATCGGGAACTGCAGGGAGTCGCACCACCTTTTGCGTGTTGGTTTGCAGTTGCAGCACAATGATGTCGAAGGCTGTGATTAGAACTGAATGTGGGCTGCTGTTGCAAATCCCATCCTCAATGCTGTCCTGGTTAACAAACTGATCTTTGCAGTACACCACGAAATGTATGCTAACGAACTGGTCACCAGAGATCAGAAAGGGGCGCACCCTCGGTGCTGTTCGGCCTGACTGCGGGTACTTAAAGGCAGTCTCTTTGGGCTGCAAGGGATGCGGTGGCATAAACAGGGGCGCATTGAGCGATGTGCCTTCCAGCGCACGCTGCAAATCTAGTGGCAAGCGGATTGGCTCAGACGCTCGGATGGGTGTAGTACCGGGTGCCACCCTGCCGGTCTGTATTCTCAGGCTGGTGTTGAATACCTGCTCAATACAGGCTATTGTGCATGTGAACCGCGCAAAGTCTCCACCATAGGAGAAATGCAGAGAGCTGTCTGGCACTTTGCCGAAGAAGTTCTTAACAAGGTCCACATCATATTTCCAAGGTCCAGCTATGCCGTAGATTTCATCCCGCTCCAGATACCGACCGTATTCCCTGTTTCCCGGGTCAGAAACCGCTTTCGCCCTGTTCTCCAGCAAGTCGAGGTTTCGCTGCCGCAATGCCAGGAGCACGATGATGCCTAGTGCGCTTGGTTTGTTGAACAGTGACATATTCTGTCCACGATTGTTCGTGTCTGTCATAATATATGCGAGCTTGCAGCTTACGCCCAGACACTCTTGCAAAAAAAGAAAAGGAAAGGAAGGAGCCTTGTGAGCCATGTCTCTGTTCTGCTCACCGGGCCGAGCTCCGTGCTGCCATCCGGGTTGAGAGAAACCCGCCCATCTATCATCAGTGTGGTCATAAGCAGCCGAAACCTGACATCAAGTTTCGAGATGCCTCTTCCAAAGTGGACGGTCCTTCCTACACTGCTGGGGATCTGCGGCCATGGTGCCCAGCAAAAAGCCACGACCACAGTTAGCGTAGCCATGCTGGGCAAACAGTCGTGCAGCACCATGTCAAATGTCTGCTAGTTGCTTGTACTTGTTCGTTGAATCTCCGGCTTGACCGTTGCACCACCACTTTCTCTATTTATGCCCGCCGTGCTTCCATGTATCTGACACATTCCCATGCAAGCATGGGCCTTCAAAGCTTCTGCCAAAGGCTGCAACACGCTGCAACCAGCTGCAATTGGCAGGAATTAGACACGGAGTTCGAATGCAGCGAAACACAGATGTCTGGTTCTGCACCTTTCCCCACGCCTACATCCGCCCCACTTTGGCACGAATTCGTGCAGCTGTTCTATCAGTCAATGGCCTAAGACTCCAAACGACTGCCTACATTTCCGCTTGGCGGAGGCTTACTCACGTTGCCTTCAGCACGAGTAAGCTGAAAGTCTCTGTGATGGACAGAGCGATACAAGCAGCATGTATGTTACATAGGATGGGAGGAGGTTAGTGGCAATGGGTGGCGCGTGTTGTCTTCTGCAGTCTAATGCCATCTGCTTTAACTGCTAGCTGGTCACAGAGGATCGCCCAGTTTGACTGGGCCGAACCTCGCGCAGCTTCACACTTCTGAGATGCTTCCTGAGCCACGCTTCTCTTCCCAGGAGAACTTGACCTTCTCACAAGGACATCCCAAAAGAAGATAGTCGTCATCTGCCAGTGGTCTTACACATTGTTCATTGCCGGTAAGCCCGGCCTGCGACGTGAGCAGCGGTCGGCAATAGCTTGCAGGCGCAGTTTGAGGCTTGAAGTGGGACTGGTATGTAGTCCTAGCTCGGCACCCATGCTGTGCCATGGTGCTATCACTTTCGGCTCCTGAATGCTGACTTCGTGCCCTGCGCTGAAGCTCCCAAATGATCCTGGAAGATGGCAGAGGAGAGGTCTGCCATGTCTGCCTTCTAGGTCAAAGTACCGATAGTACAACAGTATCGCAGCATGTTCACCGACGTGAGGGCACCTGTCCTTTACCACTGGGCGCGATGTGGTCTCGAGCAAGTCCAACGGAAGCTTCCCGTGACTGCTGTGTGCAAGCGAACTGGCACAGGTCAGGAAATGATATTTGGCTCCACATTAGCAGGTCCATGGAACTGAGGAGCCTCGTCTCTGAGCTCTTTGTGGAACCAAAGCCGATAGAGTCCTCCGCCCTGAACAGGACAGTAACCAAAAGGACTAGTGCAAGCGTCGGCAGGCGTAGGTCCTCCTGTCCGCTGCAGGTGTGCATGGTGGCTGGCGCCTAGACCACTGAAAAAACGCTGTCGGCTGCCATGTACAGATTAGACATAGTAGACTTTTGCACGAAAATCGGGTCTCTGACGCATGGCGCTGCTCATGGCGGGTGAACGGCCCAAAGGCCTATGCCATATTCCAGGAATGCTTCATGCAACGAAATTCACCTTTGTCACAATATGTCAAAATAGGCTGCAGGTCATCGGCCTCCGTGTAGGAGCTCTTGGCACTGGGAATGGCTGCAAGCCGTTGCGAGGACCTAGTGATGGCGTGAGAACGCCAGAAGAAGGGCGAAACTGTTGCAACTGTTGCTCATGTGAAGCGCACTGCGTAATGGCCTGTTCGCTTCGCGGAAAGACTCGGCCAACTGACGGTCAATGCCTCTTGGAACATGCAGAGAGGCTGGATGTACCAGTAGTTGACTCGCGAAGGGCAGCAGTTCTGGGCTGGACACCGGCGCCAAGCAGGGGCACTTCGCGGAAGTTGGAGGTGTACTCGCACATGCTTCGCTGAGCCCTCATGACCAAAGCCAACAAGTGACAAGTGCAATCGGCACCAGGTGCGAAGACCCAGGCGAATCGTATCCAAAAATCGAACATGGTAAACGCATGAACCTATGCTATGCAACTCCCTTCCACATGCAAGGAAGGCACAGGTCGGCAACTTTCAGCGGAACTCCTGCATGTATGGTACCTGCTGCCACGTGGAAATAGCAGAGAGCCTAAACCCTAAACCCTAAACCCTAAACCGTTTGGATTCCTGCGAGATACAGTAGGGCACGTTTTTCGCCGAGGTGAAGAATCTGGCCGAGACCCTGGCTGCCTCTCAGAGCTCTCAGAAAGCTGAGCTGTCACACTCTTTCAGCTCTGACCCCTTGGCCGCCAACTGTACTTCAAGCAACTGCGTGGCACTGGATGCCGGAGGCCGGCGAAAGACTCCTGACCTGGGAGGGTGGTTAGGCGGGGGTGTTTGGGTGTGGCTCGGTGAGATCTCACGATCGTCTGCGGTCGCAGTTCAGGAGCTGGGGCAAGCCCCAATCAAAAACTGCTCGGCTCGTGCCGACAAGCCAGGACATTTTCCGAAAGCTCGCTTCTTCGTCCTGGTTGGCTGTTTTGGCATCTGAAGCATCGTCATGAATTAACGTGGTGACCTAAACTTAACATGCTGGGTGGCAGGAGGCTTTGTGGAACTTCTGCCGACTGAGCACAGGCTTCGTGGGCTGCATGGCTGAGCTAGGCAAACTTTGCCTCCACATGTTTGACTCCTGTGGAGTGCGCCAGCAATCCTCGTCCCCTTGCTCTCAAGCATGTCAAAAAAGTTCAGCTACATGCTTTACCGACTCTTGCGTCAAGCGCGACGGCATCGTGTTTGACTTCCGCCTCTGCAACCGGTTCCGTTCCACTCTTCCCCACCGACACGTGTACACGTGGTCCGGCTTTTGTCGGGCTAACTCCGTGCTTGTGAGCGCTCTTCAGGGGCTGAAGGCAGACGAGGACCAAGGGTCACGTCAGGTCTCGATTGAAATAAATCCTTTTGCTACAAGATAACTACTCAACCGTCGCATTAGTTTCTATCGCCATGTTGTACGCAGATGTGTATCAAGGCCAAACCTGACCAGGCACGCCCAAAGACTTGCATGCAACTCGCAAAAAAGGGTATAAACAGTCGAGGTCATCGAAGTCCTGCCATGCACCGCATTCGGCAGAAGCTGAGGTATCTGAGGTCAGGGCTGGTGCTGCGCAGGAAAAGCTGACGGTCTTTCGCAGGCAAAGCTTGCACCTAGATGCTTGTGCTTCGATTGCAAGTGCTTGAAGCTCGCATCACGCTCCATTGCAGAACTTATCAGGCGGGCCTTGGAGGGGATGAGTGATGAGTGGTTGCATGGGTGGATGGAGGTGCGGGTAATTAGTGGTGGGGTTGTCGCTGTGTGAATACCCCCTGCTTGCACTCGTGCGCAACCCTGCTACAACCGGACTGTGCAGAAATCTTTGAGCGGGCGATATGCATGCATTCGTGGATGGGGGTGTGATGAGGCGGTTGTCCACCAACTGAGGCGCGAGCGGCTGCTGCTGGGGCGATGCCAGTTGAGGTATTCTTGAAAGACGGGCGGACCATTGCTGGACGAGTGAGCTAAGACATCCGTAGATTGATTGGGGAAGCTTTGCTCGATGATGCCCCCGAAGGGAAACTGCAAGTGCCCTTCGGTGACTTCTGCTGCGGCCGCACTTCGTTTCCACTCCGCGATGTCCAAAACTTAGGCCTCGACCTTGAATGTAGCTTGACATCCCAACGAGACGTAGAAAGATTCTACAAGAACTCGGCCTGCACCACTGAAACTTCGGTTTTGGCTCGGACATGCAACTCCCGCACCTTAATCTTCTGCTTGTGCTGTCATGCGCGTGCTACACCCGAAGTCAGGAAAGTCGAACCACCAATATGCAAGTGAAGTAACGAGTTCAGCACGAAAGCACAGATCTCGGATTACGCCTTTTCTCTCTCCCGCTGTGAGGAGTCCTGTCAACCCTTGCATCGGTATCACGTCTCGTGCGCCTGCTGTGCCAGCAGACACCGATGTCAAGGTGTGAGCAATTTATGTGTCAACTCCTCACAAGCTTCGCTGTGTGAGGATGCTGCCCTGTGCCGGAGAAGCTGCCATCGGCTATTGTCTAGCCTCCAGCTCAGATCCGGGTGCGTGGAACCGCCTATTGGGCCGTGAATTCGATCATGCCCTGCCCGGCTCGCCACTGCCAGATTCGCTGTCTCACAAATCCTACCGGTGAGTTTGAGACTTAGGTTTGCGCAAGCCTCTGCTCTGCGTGCAGCGAATCTTGCAGTCGCCTGGCCTCTAAAACAGCTTCCCAAAAAGTAGCTTCCCAAAAAGTAGCTAACCGTCTCGCTTGGCGCGACGAGATGGGACTTGTAGTAGATCTTCACACAGGACTTGTAGTAGATCTTCACACAGATATCACAGTGCCAGCCGTCTGCTCAATGGATTTGTCCACACTTGCATCCACCTGACAAGCGCTTCGGGATCCCTTTCCGGTACAGCGCGACAGCTAGATAGATGAGGGTGCCGGCCGTCTGCTCCAGGGCTTCTGCACTGCCGTCCTGGCGAGGTCTACGGCCAAGGCTGAAAACGCATGGGGGGTACAGACTTGGGTGCCTGTGCTTTGCTCGCCTCTCGGGCAGCCCGCTTCGCCTCACCAAGTCACCGCGACGATTCTTCACAGACCCCAACTCATAGGCATCGAAGTCACGAGCCCCTGCAAGGCAGTGGACTCCCAAGTTCGGGATTTGAAAAGGTAGTCGTCCAGTCAAAAGATTCTGTAAAGACAACTCATGGGTCGTGTCTCGGTATTTCGGCGGCCAACGCCCGCGAGGATTTGGGATACGTCCACATTCGATTTGAAGGGGTTGTGCCTCAATAGAAGCACACTTGGCAGAACCCCGGTTCCTAGGTGCCTCCTCTCGTTCCTGTTGCTTCTTCATGCGTGCTTCCTTTTTGTCTTTCATCTTCTCGTCCCTGGCGATCAGCTGCGCTACTCGCGCCATTGCAAGTCTGCAAACTCTGCCCTGCCTTACGCGCTTCAAGTCCTTGGGATAGCTCCAGTGGAGCAAGGTGTATGCCAACCTAGGCCGATCCAGCCGAGCCATGCCGACCATGCCATACAGCTCTGAAACACACTCTTGCATCGAAGCTGAGGCTGTCTGCCAGCAAATCAGCCAAGGAGTGAAGCAGGTAAGAGTCAAGGCCTGGCCCCATGACAGCTAAGCCTCTGAGCAGGAGAGATGCATAAGGCATAGTACCGCCTTGCCCAGTGCGCGACGACTCTCCGGATCGGAGACCGCCTCCTTGTGGTCCTCATCAAGCCTCTTCGCCCCAAACGATGGGACAATGGCGCCGTGCCACTGTAGGTGATCAGCGCCATGCAAACCAGCAGCGTGTAATGCTAGTAACAAGACTCTTATGTTACCACCAGATTGCAATGAAGATAGTAAGGACAGCACTTGTATCCAAACACGTTCTGGGCCAAGAAGCCAACCTCGAAAGCATCATGCCACGACCATGTAAAAATCAACTAGGCTTCTCAGCAAGCTGCCATAGCATTGCCGAGGATTGCCGCGAATGTGCTCTCCAGGGCAGCTTCCCAGGCAAGGATCGTGGACCTCCCTTCGGGACGCACCTTGTGGACAAAGAGAATGAGACTGCTGGGTTGTTGTGTTGAGAAAGCTCCCCGCAATCTCGGTCAAAATGGGCAGATTCACCCCGACACCACCTCAGATCCGGCCACTTCTCGAAATTCCCTGAGGATCTCCGGGTATCGCACGGCGGCTCCAACTTAACGATTGCAGAATTACAGACGACATGGCACAGGCACTTCTATGGCATCTACCTGTGTACGGCATACATACATGCAGACGTGCAAGCATACTTTTGTACCCACCGACATAACAGGTTGCATGTTGCTTAGAGTCAGCTTGCTCTGTCACCTTCTCCTCTATGTAAGCGCACACATACATGCTTGACATATTGATATTAGGACAGATCGATAGATACATAGACAGATGGATGGATAGATGGAGACATGGATAGATGGACAAATGGATGTGTTTCCATACGCCCGTAACATGACATGGCATGGCAGAAGCTCGCAGAAACTGGAACGGCAGAGCATAAACTCTATGACTACGTGTTAAGCACACGAGAGAGAGAGAGAGAGAGAGACAGACAGACAGACAGACAGACAGACAGACAGACAGACAGACAGACAGACAGACAGACAGACAGACAGACAGAGAGACGGGGAGCAATCTCCATGAGCCACAGCAGCATCCCTCAGGTTCCGGCACCAGGTTGCAGTGAGGCCCATGAAGATCACAAGCCTGAGCCCCAGAACCATTGGTCTACCCTTCGTTCCCACAGAAGCCTGAAGAGTGTGGAGCCTCAGAAGCTCTAGGACTGCAGAGTCTCTGGGCAGCCGGCCCCAGGTAGTAGAAAAAGGCCCCCTCACCTGGAAGTTGGAATCCAAGGACGACTTGGAGCTGGCGGAATCTGACAGAAGGCCTTCCGGTGGATCAATCATGAAGATGAGGTATGCCACCGGAATGCCGCATCTGCAGGTATTTGAGACAGAACATTGCTCTCCAAAGCGCAGCACAGTTTTGCCGAGTCTCGGGCAGAACAGAAATCTGTGCCGTGAGGGGACGGCCATGCATTGGGCAGCGCTTGGAGAGCCGATCACCAATGAGGCCTGCCAAGGCGAATCCAAAATGTCAAAATCGACCTTTCAGTTCCCTTACAAACGCCCGAAACTCCCTAGACCCCAAGGCCCTAGACGCCCAGTTTGCCGATCTGGCCTCCTAGGAGTCCTCCGATGGCACCGGAAGCTTGGCCGGCCGCTGCCAAGATGGCGGCTTTCGCCTCGCGCGTGCTTTGCGTCGGGGGGTCGGTATCAATTTTCTGCCGCCCGAAACCGGTTTAGGTCAGTGCTTCGTTCTTGGAAGTTGCTGTCTGAGGCAATGGCATCACCAATTCCACCAACCTGGTAGAAGAGAGTGGAATACCCCATCGCATTCCATGGGATGCTGCCAAACCTCGTCTGCCCGGGCGATGCCATCCCCTCGAAGGCTGAGGCATCTCAGGGCCAAGCCATCCCTGAAAGATCAACGCCTCAGACACTGAAAGGAGGCTGTGAAAGCCTGCCATAGCCTAGAACTGCATCTGAGGGCGGCCTTCCCTCCCCCTCACCCCTGTCACCTTAGGGTTCCTGCACAAAAAGTTGGCATGCGGAAGTAACTCAGCAGCTTCCCAAGCTCTTGCCTCAAAGCACTGTCGGAGGTAGGGTTCACACGTGGAACAGGCACACATGCAGCCATGCACAGGTGGCCTTAAAGCACCACGTTCCTGCTTGAACCGACAGCTGAGGGGAAGAAAAGCTCCCCACACAGAAGCAACTGATCACAATTTGCAAGGAATCGAACGGCCTTGCCTTTGCTGACTTTCCAGAGTTCTCACGCTCTGGCTCGGTCATCGTGCACGCCTGGCAGCTCACACGGGGGTTACTTGCGCCTAGCTTCGGCGATGCACAGGCTTGTGGGCTCACGTTCTGGTAAGGCAGCGACGGCGAAGAGGCCGACCAAAACAGACAGCGACCCGATGCCAATGAAGGACACCCTCCATCCCTGCGGCTGTCGGTGTCTCCACCCCAGAATCAACAACATATCTCCCTAGGACCATTCGGGGCACTGTAGGCGTCATTGCTACCCGGTTCACAGCATCTCGGGTCTCTGTACGCAAGAAAAGAATCATTCACGGGCACACAATTGCGGCGCCTACGAGTCTGCGTGCGTGCCAGTCTTCATGTCCGCCATACCAATAGGCCGATCAAACACATTGAGCAAGGATACCTGCGTGTGTGTATGCATGTGTGTTATGCATGCATGCCTGCATGTATGCAACTGTATGCATATATGAACTTATGCACGTTTTTACGTGTGTATACATGTGCGTGCACTGGTGTGAGACGAGAAACGTATGCATACATGTATCCTGCAAGCTCCAGTTCTACAGAAGGACGAAAGCCTATATGCGGGAGAATGTACTACGTACTTACGTGCTTGCATGCATTCACATATTCGACATGTAGATGACACATTGGAATTGAAACAGCAACGTCCTTCAGTGTATGAGTTCACACCACCAAAAGCTACTAGTGCAGTAAGTGAACACATGCCAACGCATGTACATGAGGTCTATAGCAAGCAACGTATGACCGTTTACTGGTATCCGTTTGTCTGGCTTTGCACTCTTTGCGGAACAGTCTGCGTGTGTGTGTGTGTGTGTCTGTGTGTGTGTGTGTGTGTGTTTGTGTGCGTGGTGGTGTGTGCTTGTGTGTTTGTGTGTGGTGCTTGGGTG